ACGTTTTGCAGATATCGACTTATTTCAAAATAATAATTCAGTAGATAATTACATTAGAATGAATCATTACAACTGCGATGATTTTCAGAAGTGGCTTCATTGGGCTGCTAATGAGCGAAATGTGACGTGCATTTTCTCAGAAAACTCTCTCAAAGCAATATATAATAAAGTTCCTTCGGAAATGATTCCAATTCACATAGGGTCCGAAACAATTATAGCAACTTATTACAGTTTCGTATTCTGCAAGGGATTCCCTGTTCAGGATGACATAAGGCGTCACGCGGCGAGTATCTTCGAAAGTGGAATTCTGAGTAACTATTTAAATATGTTTCTGACTCGTAAGAAAAGAGTTTCGCATAAACGAACCGATTCAAATGTATTTTTAACTGCCAGCGATCTCAGTTGTGGCATTAAAGTAATAACATTGGGATTAGGTATTAGTTTAATAATATTTGCCGCTGAGTTTTGTTACTATTACGGGTTGAAATTTTATAAAGAACGTGGGCCATTTTTTCAGCAAAGATTTGAATTCAGAAACCGGCCCTGGTAATCATATTTAATACGATACATGTTAATTTTAAGACATACTATAGTGCGTCTATAGATTAGCAACAAATTAAAAATTATTCCTGTGTATATGGAGCTTTAACTGTTAGTTACAACAGGGTTAATATTACAATTGTCTTAGGTATATTGAGAAGAGTAAGAGCTATAGTTTTAATTATTTATGAGATTTAAACAGTACAAAGACAAAAGAAACCGACTATACCCTCAAAACTGCTGTATTTAATGATATAATATTGTAGCTGATTACATTTAATGAATAAAAAACTGAAAAAAGAAGCATTTTCATTGTCGTTGATTTCTGAAGTGTACGATGTGTTGCATACCTTTATACAAACAATTCCTTTAAATTATAATAATTGATTACTATACATCTATTAAAAAACCATAACGGCTGACATCAGTAACAATGCCACAACAATTGAAAAAGAATGATGGCCGACCACTGCAACAATTAGAAAAGAATGATGGCCGACAACTGCAACAATTAAAAACGAATGATGGCCGACAACTGCAACAATTAAAAAACAATGATGGCCGACACTACGTCATAGTGGAGCAATAAAAATGGCCGGCGGCAGGGGGAAGAACCAATATAATTAAAAATAATTAAAATTTCATTTTATATGGTAATTGTTTTCGTATTTAGACTTTCTGCTTTTGTGTGTGTCCAATTGCATTTTACTTGTTCGTACTTACTATTGTAGACACATGTGAATATGTATTTGAAATTGCGCCAAAAGTATTGATATATATTTTGCCAATGCACCCATGAAAATGCTTTAATTTCGATTTGAAAATAGTTTCAAGTTAGAAAACGGGAAAATGGTACGATTTCGCAATAACTGTTTCATGTTTTGCATTTATATAGAACTATCAACGGAAAACGTTCTGGAGGTATATTCGTAAATAATCTTTGGCATCTAATCTTCC